TGACTCGTATCCTTGAATTACTCAAACTTGATGAGTTAACTACACTCTTGAAACATCTCGCTTGATCAATCTTGAAAAGATTGAATTCCATTGTTGTATCAAAATATTAAACCCTTGGGAACTTGTCTTAATTCATCAAGATACGTTATACCGATCTTTGAAAACTACATTCTGTGAACTACGGTAAAAGCATTATGATTAGAATATTATGTTGAACCTCTCTTTGTGAACCACAAAATGGTTGATGCGATTACGTTATCTCTGAAGATTATTATCGATGATCTCATTTGACCAAACAAACTCCGTTATGACCCTACTAAGGGAATGTATGTGCAACAACCAGAGAAGAAGTGACGTCACAAGGATCAAGCTGAATCATTCAAGTGAAGATTCCGAACCTATATGCGATGTTGGTGTAAGAACTAGTAAAGATTCCTCACTCTATGAATTCATGAATTGAATCACGCACTGAAGATATTATCTTCTTCACTCGAAATGAAATCAACCATAGTGTTACATCAAACCTGTCATTATCAAGAACGTATCTGGATATATTCCAAACTCGATGAAGAAAGTTGAATACGACAAGACGTATATGAAACGCCACTCTAACGTTATCACCTGTGGATACGAATTAATGCAAAGACTCATTAACGATAATGAGATCTACCATGAAGTAAACGAAGAAATGTTTTGGTATGCAATCAACATTTTTATATTTTGAAAATTTTAATTAAGACTTAAATGAACTAACAAAGGCAATTTTGTTGTATTGTAGTTGATTGGTGGCTTGCAAACGGCTCATCCTCTCCCACTTTGCAACAATTTGCGGTGTGTATCCTTAGTTTAACGTGCAGTGCTTCTGGATGTGAACGGAACTGGAGTACCTTTGAAAATGTGAGTTTTTGACCATGCGTTTTAAATTACTTGTTTTTATACCTAATTAACCTATACTCCCTCCGTCCCCCTAAGATGTTCTCATTTTAACTTTTGGTGGTTTTTAAGGAGAGTTAAAAAAAGGTGAAAGTTTACCATAATACCCTTAATGAAAATGGGTGGACTGTATTAAATGAGGTGGGTGAGGTGTAATAAATAAAGTAAGTGGGGGTAGTTGTGGTATTTTAATTGTTAAAAAATGAAATGAGAAGATGTGGACAAAGAAAAAGGGCTATTGGGAAGATCTATGTGGGACGGAGGGAGTATATATTACTAAAACTATAATTTTAATTTTTTATGCCTAGGTTCAAACAAAGAAGCGAACAAAGTTATTGCCCAAAAAATGAATGATTTGGTGTATGTTCGACAAAATCAGCGTCTTCAAGATCCCACTTTTAATAAAATGAAAATATCATTCGATGATCTTGAGGATTGTAATGAATGGATTGATGAGGAAAATGAAGTTCAGAATTGGGACGTTGTTGAAGAAGCACTTGCTTTAAATGAGCATGTTGGTCGCCAAACTCGAGCATCTACAAGTAATCCAGTGGTTGAAGAAGTTGATGAAGATGATATTGAAGATCTTACTATTGAAGACCCATATGATTGTGAAATCAATGAAGAAGACGTACCTTTATTATCAGATTCAGACAAAGATGACGATCATGAATGCGATGATTAGATACTTATATCATAAATTCTAAGTTTTCACTTTTAATTTTTGAATTATTTTTAAGTTTTGATTAAGTTGTGTTGTTTTACTATTGGCCTCATGGACCCTTAGAGTGTTTTGGATTTGGAATGACTTCTCATTTGTGTTTTACTACTTCACTTTTTAAATCAAGTAATCTATTGTTTTTTATAGAATTTATTCCTTATACATGTGCAAAGATTAGTAAATTAATATTTTGTGACTAGTGACTTGTGGCAACGTCATATATGCGCCATCGCCATCTGATAAAATTTAGGATGGATATGGACAACTGGATTGGGTAATAAGACACTTGGACTGAACCACATTAAAAGATTGAATCCAATCGATTAGTTAGTTCAACTCAAGAGTTTATATACCGATTATTTTGCTCTTGAACTTCTGATGTGAGATGACACTCTAACACTCCCCATCAAGTGGACAACCGGGCCATTTTGAATCTAACCGATTGACCACTTGCAAATAGACTCTCATCCAATTGATTTTTTTAGCGCCAACACCTAAAGGACCACGAGCCGCTGGGTATGGACTTTCAGCCGAGCAATCGTGTTAAACATGCCATAGGCCGATTGGTACATACTCCATACAGACAACTGGGCTAAAGACAAACGGGCTGCTAGGAATGAACATCTAGACAGACACCTTGACAAACGAGGTGGGCGAAAACCTGCTCTGATACCATGATAAAATTTAGGATGAGTATGGACAACTGGATTGGGTAATAAGACACTTGGGTTGAACCACATTAAAAGATTGAATCCAATCGATTAGTTAGTTCAACTCAAGAGTTTATATACCGATTATTTTGCTCTTGAACTTCCGATGTGGGATGATACTCTAACACCATCGCCATGCGATATTGGCCCATCGCCATGAATGTCACCATGCGCCATGACAACTATGGCAGTGGGCTGCCTCCCTAGGGCTTTATGAGCAAAAGAAATGCATATGACAGTGATGTACGTAACACCATATTTAATCTCTATCTCACTCTATATAAATTTAAAAAATATTTAAAACACACTGTGTAATAATGAGGGGGACATTATACACTACATCATTTTAGGTCATGAAACCCCCCGATATAGTGGCTGTCACATAACTGGTAAGGACCATGCTACACTTACACCAAAAAATATACTCCATTTGTACACCACAGGTTTGCACAAACATTTCGATGGTTTACACCGACACAAGTGTTGGTGCGTTAATAAAAATTCACACGGACACAAATGTTGGTGCGTTTAACAAAAATTAGTTTTACACCAACACAAAGTGTTGGTGCAAAATTGCGGGATACAAATTGGGATACAAAACTTGGGGTACACGTAGCATAATCAACTGGTAAAGCCAATCTCGGAACTTTATGACTAAACATGGTCTAACCACCTAAAAAAGTACTCTGTACTCGGTATTTTAAATTTGGGAGTGATCACAAATTTGATTGAGTATTCCTTATTTGGAACAAGAGTACTCCTTAATTATTATTTTTTCAACCAAACATGAGCTAAGCGGCAGCGGGTGAGGAGGAGAGAAAACGCGCCCCTATTTTTGTTGGGTTATGGGGGTTTCTGTTGCAGTGGTGTTCAGGGGCTAGTGGCGCCTCTCTGAGCTTTATCGGACGCCGATCCGATCCTCCCGGCGACCCGGCGAAACCCAATATTTGGAAAAACCCAAGTTTCACTCCTATCTCACTTCATCTTCTTCTCCACTGCGTTGAAGTTTTGATCTAATCGGTTTTCAGTTTTTCGTTGATATAGTTATATTTAGTTTTTCCTTTATAGAATTCAGGGGATAGTCGATCAATCGGTCGATTTTGAGTACAGAGCTCGTGTTGAAACCCTAATTTTCAGGCTTATCTCGCTTGTTAATACTTTTTTAGATTAAAATTGTCTAGCTTGGAGAAAAAGCAACCCTAGTTTTGATGGCTACAGCTTCTTCTCCGAGTAATCACTCCCCAAGGAGCACCCCCGACATTGGCTCTCAAGGCATCAGCAGTCCCAAGTCTAGGCGGTCATTGCCTCAGCGTGTGGCTTCAGCTGCACGGACTCAGATGGTCTGCGAGGCTGAATATGAACCAGTCCCTGTTGGACCCGCTTCTGGACTGATCCCTCAGTCTCCACATTCTCCTTCGACTGCTTGTGTTGCTCATGACCAAACTGGAAGTTCATCTGATTGGTCTCATTCACAAGGTGCTGGACCTACCTCTGGGAATTCATCATCACCATTGCCCGAGGATGCTTCTGTGAGAGTTCAGGGAGAGAGCTCTGGGAGTGAGAATGGGAGTGCGAGTAATTCTGACAAGAAACTGGCCTGGAACAAGCCAAAAGATGCCAATGATGTTGGTGCTGTGATGGGTGCTGTTTCTTGGCCTGCTCTATCTGAGTGTACCAAAGCTTCTCCCAAAACAAATTTGCCGAAAACTCTCTCTGATAGCTTGCATTCTACTTCTCAGGTCTTTTTTCCCCTTGGGTGTGTTTAAGGATTTTTTTTATTTTGTATTTACACCCATGCTGTTAACATTTGCCACACCTAATCTTTTCATCATGCATTTAAGATTCCATTTATGCATATTGTGTCTCTCTGCTATATAACACTCACAGTTGCATGGTTTCTTCAGGTTACATTCCATGATTTTTATGTTGTTCTTGCTAACATGACTAGAAAATATCTAAACTCATGGCCCTCACATGATATCATCCATGCATGCCGAAATTGCCTTGGATTGATGACAGTTTTATGTTTTTTATCTCATTGTTTGGAGGTCGCTACCTGGATAAAACATCGCTACTATGCTTCTACGCATGAGTTTGTAGTATTTATTAGTTTTATAAAATTAATGGGCACCATGAATTTAATGCCACCAGCACCAAATAATTTATATTAAGATGCTTATAAGTTATGATGATGAGTTGCATGGGTTCTTCGGTGTAGATAACTCGCAGCTCTTTGTTTTGTAGACTTTGTCTCTCTTGCATTATTACAGAAAAACCTGTTGTATTACTGATGATATTTTAATTTGTGTTCAAAATGTAGGGTACTAGTGCAGCTTCTTTTCCGCACAAGCAACTTCATACTAATAATGCAAATTCTAGTTCAGCTCCAAATCATGCTCCAAACCGCCAAAGATCATTTAAACGTGGTGGTGGGAATTCCAGCAATAGTGTGCAAGCTAATGGAAACTTCTCTCAGTCACAAGGTGCAATCGTTGAAATGGCACCTCATAGTGCTGAAAAATCTGGTAACTCTGGTGCAGGGTTATCTTCAAGAGACAATATGAATCATGATGTTAGGCAGAGAGGATTTGGATATAAATCACATGGTGGAAATGAACACCAACACCAACAAAATTCTAACAAAAGGAGTAATGGTGGGCCACGTCCTCGTGGCGATGGCTCCCATTACCATGGCCATGGCAGTGCTCGTGATCAGGAGCGTGGGAGTCAGGAATGGAATCATAATCGGGGTTTTGGTGGTAGAGATGCACACATGCCTCCAATAAGATTTCCTGCTAGGCCCTTCATACGCGGTCCTCCTACTCCACCTTTTATTCCTCCAGCCATGCCCATACGACCTTTCAGTCCCCCTATTATTTATCCGGGTGAGCTGTGTTATTCTGAGTTTGCTTTCTGTACTTTGATTAAACTTAAGACGTATCTGGCAGTGTACTAATATTCAATGAGTATGCAGAGGTTGCATCTCCTCTGTTTTGTGTACCAGGGCCGCATCAAGAATCATTCAGAATGCCAATGTTTGCTCATATGCCTCCTTTTTTGTATCCCGTACCAGATCCTCAGTTGTATAGCAAGATAGTAAATCAGATAGATTATTATTTCAGGTACATATGGTATTGTTCTTTCAAAGGTGTTATCCTTTGGATAGCTATTAGCTAACCATTTGTTTTCCTAACCCATTGGTTGCAGTAATGAAAATTTAATTAAGGACATGTTCTTGCGTGGAAATATGGATGACCAGGGATGGGTTCCTATTAAACTTATAGCAGGCTTCAAGAAGGTGAGTTGATTGGATTGAACCTTGTTGTCTGTATACAGAAATGGTTCTTTTCCTATTCTATTCTCTAGGCTTTCTCTTTTCTGCAATGTGCATATTGTATCAAGCTAAAATCAATTTTAGCTTCACCAATTTTTTTGGGTTGATCAGGTTGAACTGTGCTTTCTATATGCAGAAATGATTATTTTTCTTGTTACATTCTTTAGGGTTTTTCGTTTGTATAGTGTGCATACAGAATCTAGCTAAAATCAAATTTAGCTTAACAAATATTTCTTGAGTTGATGGGATTGAATTGTGCATTTTATATGTATAAATGCTTCATTTCCTTATCCTATTCCTTAGGTTCTCATTTGTGCAATTTGCATATAGATTCAAGCTAAAGTCAAATTTAGCTTAACAAAACTTTGATAGAAACTGTATGTTTTGGTTACATTACATTGCTTTGAAGCTTAGCAATTTTGAAAGCAACTGTATGTTTTAATTATGCATTAGTGACCCTTGATGACCTAGGATTGTCTCATTGGAACCTGCTGTACGCCTGTACCTTCAAACCACTTGGAATGAGCTCAAAGAATTGTAGTAGATAGGGTAGTAGTAGAATCCATTTGTAGTGTCTGAATTGCACATCTTTTGAAACGTTTCTCTTTCATTTTGATCATTTGATATTATATATATGTGTGCTTGTTACTTTAATATATTGCATATTATATACTCCCTCCCTAAATTGGCGGTGCGAGAGGAGTACAAGAATGCTCGGAAAGAAGTTAAGTTGGTGGTTTTTACAGAAAAAAGTGCAGCTTTAGAATGACTGTATAGGGAATTAGTAGAGAGAGGATGTGAGTTGGGACAGAGACTAGCAACCGATGGTATTCCTACTTTCATAACCTTCTAAATGTTGGAGGGGATGAGGTTCACTACTAGATGAGTTGGGACAGTTTGAGAGCCATCGAGATTTCTGGTACTGTCGGTGCATTAGATATGAAGAGGTAGTGAATGTCATTAGCAAGACAAAGGCGGGGAAAGCTTTTAGATCAGATGAGATCTCGATGGAGTTTTGGAAGATTGTGGGCAAAGATGGGTTGATGTGGATCACCAAGCTAAATGTTAATTTCAAAAGAGTTAAAAAGATGCTTTGCAAGTGGAGGGAGCATGTGGTGATCTCATTGTACAAGGGCATGGGCGATATCCAGAATTGCAATAATTATAGATGCATCAAATCAATTAGTCACACAATGAAAATGTAGGATCGAATAAAGGAGATGAGGTTGAGAAAAGAAGTGCGCATTTCTGAGAATCAATTTGGATTCATGCCTAGTAGATCAACTACAGAGGCCATTCACCATATAGGATAAGAAGAGAAGCTACACTTGGTGTTTATTGATTTGGAAAAGGTTTATGCCATACTTCCTAGGAAAGTCTTATGGAAGGGCCTGGAGTACAGAGTGGCGCCAGTAACTTACATTTCTGTTGCTAAGGACGTGTATGACAGGGTGAGTACCAATGTGAGGTCGATGGAAAGGGACGCATATCACTTTCTCATAGAGAGTTTACACCAGGGTCAACCTTTAGTCCTTTTTTGTTTGCCTTAGTGGTAGATGTTTTGGCACGACATATCCAAGGGAAGGTATTTTAGTGCATGCTTCTTGCGGACAACATTGTTATGATTGGAAAGACACGTGAGGGATTCAATGGTAGGTTGGAGTTGTGGAGGTTGACCTTGGAATCCAAAGGTTTCAGGTTAATTAAATTCAAGATAGAGTCGTCGAATGTTGTTCCAGTGGTTTGACGACCAAGCCATCAGTGGAAGTGAGGACTGATACCATAGTTTGGAAAAGCGCACCTGAGGTGCGCTTCAATGCACATGAGGCACAAGCTCTGTTCATTATCCTCTGTGATGCGTGCCATGTATGTGACGTGCGTGCAACATCGCTTTATGCGATGCGATCTGAGGCACGAGAATGCGCGCATTGCAATTTTTTTTAATAGGGTTGACGATCCAGACTCAACCTTCTAAGCGACTCTTCCGTCTCTCTGCTTTGTCTGGTTTTTTTCGTAGTTTTTTTCCTTTTCTTCTTGGAGTTGTCTATTATCTTTTTTTAGCAGGGTTTTATGACTTTTATCCTTTATTTGAGGCATTTTTTTCTTTTGAGTCCTAATAAGTCCTCAGTGGCAATGAATGCCTTTTTCAGTCTAGTTTATTTTTATCTGTGTCACAGCAGGTCAGCAATATGTTTTAGCAATTTTTCTCGCATTTATACTCTCTTTCAGTATTGAAGAATCTTCGGATTTGGGATAGGAAGAACCAAATTCAAATGATCCGAGATTGAAGTATGCTTAGAGGGTCTCAAAAGCAAATAGAAAAAAAAGTATTTGCCTATTTGGCTATTTTCATGTCTTTCAAAATTTTATACTTCCTCCGTCCCACTATATTTGTCCACTTTCATTTTTGCACACCATCCAATACACTTCTTTAATCCATTTTATCTTGTAATTTGTATATTAAAAAATTATAGAAATTATATATTAATAATCTATATGTTAAGACAAATCAAACAAGATCACGCATGACTATATTTAGGCTTACACATTGAGAGAATTTGATGAGTCAAAGTGCTTAGATGAACAGTTCCAAAAGTCAAAAGTGGACGAATATAGCGGGACGGAGNTCCTCCGTCCCACTATATTTGTCCACTTTCATTTTTGCACACCATCCAATACACTTCTTTAATCCATTTTATCTTGTAATTTGTATATTAAAAAATTATAGAAATTATATATTAATAATCTATATGTTAAGACAAATCAAACAAGATCACGCATGACTATATTTAGGCTTACACATTGAGAGAATTTGATGAGTCAAAGTGCTTAGATGAACAGTTCCAAAAGTCAAAAGTGGACGAATATAGCGGGACGGAGGGAGTATGTATTATTACTAATTTAGAGATGTTATGCTACTTATGAGACAATTTACGCCTCACGTTCGTGATGCGCGTGCCTCAATGCGCGTTGAGGCTGCAAATCCCTTTTGTGCATCGGTGCGCATTGCGCCTTCAACATCTTTGACTTACACATTCAGTACCTACCTTGGATCCATCACTCAAGATGATAGAGTGATTGTTGGGGATGTTGCTCTTCGTATTGTGGCTGCTTTGATGAAATAAAAGCTTGCACCAGATGTCCTATGTGACAAGAGAGGGCATAAGTGAAATTGCAACGAAAGTTTTATTTTAAAAGTTGTTACACCAACTATGTTCTATGTAGTGGAGTGCTGAGCGGTATGCTCATGTTCAAAACTCAGAAGCTTCAAGTGGCAAAGATGAATATGAGAAGATGGTTATGCGTGGTCATATAAGGATGGATAAAGTTCGGAATGATGATATTCAGATGGTGGGAGTGGTCCGTGTGGAGGATAAGCAATGTGTAGCTAGACTGAGATAGTTTGACCATGTACTCAGCAGAATTGAGGAGCAGTCTTCTATTTTTTTTAGAAGAAAGAAAATATAGAAAGATGGTTGTACAATCGATTGCTTTTTCACTGTCGGGCAGGCATAACTAGTCACTTTACACTTTCTTAACCCCACCCGACCCCTTAGACAAGGCAAAGGCCGGAGCTGGAGGGGATAGATGGATGTGAGAAATCTCTTTTATCATTTTGGTTTGGAATATGGGCAGGATGAGAATAAGAGCCTCGTCTCATCTTTCAGCTGCGCTCCTGTAAGAACTCTTAAACGAACTACTCCCTCCGTCCCCCTAAGATCTTCTCGTTTTGACTTTTTGCGGTTTTTTAGGAGAGTTGAAAAAAGGTGAAAGTTTACCATAATACCCTTAATGAAAATGGGTGGAGTGTATTAAATGAGGTAGGTGAGATGTAATAAATAAAGTAAGTGGGGGTAGTTGTGGTATTTTAAGTGTTAAAAAAGGTAATGAGAAGATCTATGGTGGACAAATAAAAAGGGCTAATGAGAAGATCTATGGAGGACAGAGGGAGTACTAAATAAATTGGTAAACAAATTTGTTGAACATAGTTCAGCTCATTTGAAATAAATCCGTAGCCAAGCTACTGTTGTAT